GATTCCCCGGGACATACTTTGTGGGCACACTGGATCCCGAAGACTGTAATACTTACCACCCAGACCTTATGACTGAACATCCACAATGCCTCTGTCCTCTGGCACTCTGGCTTACCACTGCCTACCTGCTGGGTGGTCTGGGACTTGTATCGTGGTGTTCCTTTTTCCAAAATGAGGACTGGTACCTGGTGAAGACTGGCATTCCCATCACCGGGTTTATACTGGCATGGCATGACAAATAGTTGATCCTACCCTTTCTTGAAGTCCTGGATATAGCTGGAGAGACGGGACTTAACTACTTCCTGAACTATTTACCATCCGGTTTCCTCTCAGTTCATCCAGGGTCTCCAGCAAGTGGCTCAGACCATCCTTACACTCTAGAGCCAAATAGACTCACTGGTTGCCAGAGTGCTACAAAAGCAGCAAGGATTAGATTTACTACCAGCAGAGAGAGGTGGCCTTTGTCTCTTCCTCAGGGAGAAATGGTGCTTCTTCATTAATTGGATATAGCAAAAGGCAGGATCCAACAAGTCCAGATGGATCTCTAAAAAAACGCAAGAAACAGCTCAATGCCTCTGTTAGTGGATCATTGACAGTCCAATATAGAACTTAAACTCCTCCTCTCCCTTTCTATTTTTTTTTTCTTTTCTGGTTTTTGAGACAGGCTTTCTCTGTGTAGCCCTGGTTGTCCTGGAACTCGCTCTTTTCTTTGTTTTTTTGAGACAGAGTTTCTCTGTGTAGCTTTGGAGCCTATCCTGGCACTCGCTCTGCAGACCAGGTTGGCCTCAAACTCACAGAGATCCCACTGCCTCTGCCTCCTGAGTGCTGGGATTAAAGGTGTCTGCCATGACAGCCTGGCTCTCTCCTCCTGATATTTTCCTGTTGGCTTAATGGCCACACATGAATCTACTGATATTTTAATTATCGTCTGCTGTCCGCAGCTCATCACTCAGCTCCCTGCCAGTCACTCAGGTGGCAGCCTGGCAGGGCTTTTGGTCCTGTGGCCCAGGCTCTGCAGGGCCATGATGTTCAGGTTTAAATTAAGTCTCTGTCATTCTATTTATCAATAAGACTCAGAAGTCAAAGGCTGGGGTGAAAACCTGCTAGCTCAGAGAGGCTGAGTAGCAACAAGTTGACCCTTTTTTTTTTTTGGCCAGACCCCCCCCAAGTGACAAGCCTCTTCCCTTGCCCCAGAACCACGAGGAAGCTCAAACTCCAGTCCCAGCCCTTTCCTTCTTGTGTGTCTTCTCCATCCATTGGGCAGTCTCTGGAGTGTCAGAGTGCAACCAAAAAAATCTCACACCTTTTCTTTTTTTTTTTTTAAAAGCCACACACCTTTTTTTTTAGATTTTATGTAGTCTTCTGCCTGCATGCCAGCAGAGGGCATCAGATCTCGTTCAAGGTGGTTGTGAGCCATGTGGTTGCTGGGAATTGAACTCAGAACTTACGGAAGAACAGTCAGTCAGTGCTCTTAACCGCTGAGCCATCTCTCCAGCCCCCTCCTTTTCTTAATCCTGCTAGTTGAACCCTATCTTATAAACTTCTTGTCTAGATTTCAACAACAGATCGAAAAGTTTTTTTTTTTTTTTTTTTTTTTTTTTTTTTAAGACACGGCTTCTCTGTGTAGCTTTGTAGACTAGGCTGGCCTCGAACTCACAGACATCTACCTGCCTCTGCCTCCCAAGTGCTGGGATTAAAGGCGTGTGCCACCATTGCCCAGCTCCAAGATTTTTTTTTTCTTTCTTTTTTCCAGCTCCAAAAGATTTTTAACCAGACCTTTTTTTTTTTTTTTTTGGTTTTTCAAGACAGGCTTTCTCTGTGTTTAATCAGATTTTTAATCAATTACAGAATTACAAGCCCCAGCTATGAAGGCAGAGGCCTGCAGCTCCCAATTATACCCTGATGATGGTCAAATTTGGCCAAAGGACTTAGATGTTCCTGTTCAACAGGAAGTAGTCTATTCTTGCCTCTTTTCCTACCCCTTAGTGTTTATCAATAATAAACAAAAGGGGGAATGTAAGCTCCTTGCAGCACATGAGTGACCAGGCCCTGCCCGAGGCCCTCCAACCATCAGGTTCCACCCACACAACACTCTGTCTTGAGAGCCATACCCAGCCCCTGCCCTACAGAGTAAAAAAGCCCAGGCTCAGGAATTGAAATCCCACGGATGCCCTGTGGCTGGGGAGATAGTTCAGTTGATAAAGTGCTTGTATGAGGACTTGAGTTACATCCCAGAAGTCCTGTGAAAAAGCCAGGTGTGATGGCACAAGCTTGTAAGCCCCATGGTTGGGAGGTGGAGACATGTGGGCTTCCCTGGCCAGGCAGCCTAGCTACTTGGTGAACTCCAATCTGTAGAGACCCTTCTTCATAAAACAAGATGGTCAGCTTCTGAGAGCTGAGGTTGTTCTCTGGAATACAGCATAGAGTGCGCGCGCGCACACACACACACACACTTTGCCATTTGAGTTTAGTACAATCTATAGGTCTTGGATAAAAGCTGTATTTTTCCTCCCTCTTCCAATTTCAACAATCTTGTTGGCTTTTCCAGTGTTGATCAAAGGGAATGCTGAGTGCTTCTCTTTCCTCAGCACGTTTGATATTAACTGTGGCTAAAGGCAACCCCAAGTTTCGTATTATATTAAGATTTGTGCTGTGACTAAAAGCCTTTGTACATGCTTCTCTTCCACGTTCCCGTTTTTTCCACCGTAATACTGTTACCTCCTAACATGAATTCTGCTTTTCCTGCTTGTCTGTATATGCTCCTCACGAATGCCTGGTGCCTGCAGAAGCCAGAGCAGAGTATTGGATCCTCTGGAACTCCAGTCACAGGCTCTTGTGAGGCACTAAGTGGGTGCTGGGAATTAACCCGAGTCCCCTGCGAGAGCAAGTGCTGCTGAACCATCTCTCCAGACCAGAATTCTGTCATCTGAACTGTTGCCATATTGGGGATATTTGTAGTTTTCTTCTGAGTAAAGATACCTCATGTTATCAACGTTCAGAATTATTGGCAGTATCTACTAAAACTGACTGAATCCTAAGACACAGCGATTCCACGCCATGAATATACACAGTGAAGTGCATACGTGGCCATTTTTATTATGACCCCAAGCAGCAAACACTGCAAAGTCCATTGGTAGCAGAGTGGGTAAAAGGAATATACTTATATATTGGAATTCTATACAGAATAAAAGAAACGAACTTCTGCCTCGTGCACTGACGGCTGGGCTCAGAGACGATGAGAGAAACAAGCTGTGAAGAAAAAGAACAAGGAAAACGATCCAATTTTATATGAAGGTTTATACTGTGTGGAACCCAAGTGACAACGTTTTCAGTGGGAACTGTGGTTAACGTTGAGGAGGTAACACGTTTCGTTTCATGCCGACAAGTTGCATTTGGCCATCGGTCTGTGACTGATGTAATTTGTAAGACTGAAATGTAATTTGTGAGACTGAAAATGAGCCAATTTGCATGTTTATGGTAGTCCATCAGGTCAGTGGAACCTGCTGGATCCAGTAAAACAAAAATGAAGCCTTTATTTTCAATTTTTTTGGTCGTTTAACTTACCCAATGGTATTTGTGTGTGTGTAGTGTGTGTGGTGTATGTGGTGTGTGTGTGTGTGTGTGTGTGTGTGTGGTGTGTGTGTGTGTGTGTGTGGTGTGTGGGGGGGGGTGTGTGGTGTAGGTGTGTGGTGTGTGGTGTGTGTGTGTGTGGTGTGTGTGTGTGTGTGTGTGATGGGTTACCAAGTAGCAAATGTAAGGCATAGAACCTGAAAACACTCAGTACCAGACTTCAATAAAGAAAAACCCCGCAGGGCATGGTGGCGCACGCCTGTGATCCCAGCCCTGGGGAGGCAGAGGCAGAGGCAGGTGGACCTCTGTGCGTTCGAGGCCAGCCAGGTCTCCAGGGCGAGTCCCTGTGTGCAAAACCTAGAAAAACAAGCAAGCACACAAACAAGCAAGCGGAC